GAATAACTCCGTTTCTCAGTTTACTCACCTATTAAATGGAGGTAATAATAGTATGTACATCATAGGATTGTGAGAAGTAAATGGAATAAAACTTGAAAAGTATTTAGCACAATCTCTGGAAAGTCTTGAGTACTTAATAATTATGAGAAAAGTACTGTCATTTATAATACTGATTAGTCAGGAGGGTGCAAAATGGGACAGAGACTTCACCCACTAACCTACTTGGCCTGACATGGAGGTTGTAAATCACTGGTGGGTTGGAGGATGGGTATATATTCCCAGGCAGCTTGGTAGGCTGTGCCTGTTATTCCTCTTAGCCTTGTCAGTGCTAAAGGGGAGCTAAGGACATGTTATTAAAAAAAGGACCCTTATCAAAAAGAGTTCAGATGGGCAGGGACCTGCACAAGCACATGAATCTACAAGTCCTTTGACTTCTGTGCTGCCAAGCATTGAGGCTTAATTGATCTGCATGTTTTATCAAGAAATGTATTGCCCCTGAGTGGAAATGCTGTCAGCCAAGATTTGGAAATAATTGTGGCAGTTAAAAGAGGAAAGTTGCCGTTGCTGGTGTGGCTCAATGACTGAGTGCCAGCCTGTGAACCAAACGATCATCAGTTCAATTCCCAGTCAGGGCACATGCTTGGGTTGCGGGATACAAAGTCAATATTCAGAAATCAAAGGCATTTTTGTACACCAACAATGAAATAGCAGAAGCAGAAATCAGAAAAAAATCCCATTTGCTATAGCAACAAGAAAAATGAAGTACCTAGGAATAAATTTAACCAAGGAGGTAAAAGACCTTTACGCAGAAAACTATACAACACTGGAGAAAAAAACTAAGGAAGACACAAATAAATGGAAGCATATACTGTGCTCATGGATTAGAAGAATTAATGTTATCAAAATGTTCATACTACGCAAAGCAATTTATAGATTCATAGCAATCCCTATTAAAATGTCAATGACATATTTCACAGACATAGAACAGACATTTCAAATATTTATATGGAACCATAAATGACCCCGAATAGCCACATCAATTTTGAGAAAGAAAAACAAAGTAAGAGGGATCACAATACCAGACATCAAACTATATTTCAAGGCCACTGTAATGAAAACTGTCTGGTACTGGCATAAGAACACATAGACCAATGGAACAGAATAGAAAGCCCAGAAATAAACCCATGTCTCTATGGTCAATTAATATTTGACAAAGGGGGCAGAAGCATAAATGGGAGTAAAAATAGCCTCTTCAACAAATGGTGTTGGGAGAGCTGGACAGCTACATGCAAAAAATTGAAATTTGATCACCAACTGACACCATACACAAAAACAAATTCACGATGGATAAAAGACTTAAATATAAGTCATGACACCATAAAAGTCTCAGAGAAGAACATAGGCAGGAAACTCTCAGATAATCCCACGCAGCAATATTTTTACTGATATGTCTCCTCAAGCAAGGGACATAAAGGAAAGAATAAACAAGTGGGACCTCATCAAAATAAGAAGCTTCTGCACGGCTAAAGAAAACATCAGCAAAATAAAAAGGGAACCAACCGTATGGGAAAACATATTTGCCAATGATACATCAGATAGGGGTTTGATCTCCAAAATGTATAAAGAACTCACACAACTCCACTCCAAGAAGACAAACAACCCAATTAAAAAATGGGCAAAGGACCTGGACAGACATTTCTCCAAGGAAGAGATACAGAGGGCCCAGAGACATATGAAAGGATGCTCAGCATCACTAGCCAACAGAGAAATGCGTATTATGAGATACCACTTCACACCAGTCAGAAGGGCCATCATAAAAAGATCAATAAACAACGGGTGCTGGCGAGGCTGTGGAGAAAAGGGAACCCTAGTACACTGTTGGTGGGAATGCAGACTGGTGCAGCCATTGTGGAAAGCAGTGTGGAATTTCCTCAAAAAGTTAAAAATGTAACTACCTTTTGACTCAGTGATTCCACTGCTGGAATTTTATACTTTAAGAATCCCAAAATGCTAGTTCAAAAGAACCTATGCACCCCAATGTTAATAGCAGCACAATTTACAATAGCCAAGTGTTGGAAGCAACCTAAATGTCCATCAGTAAATGAGTGGATCAAAAAACTGGTACATTTACACATGGAATACTACACAGCAGAAAGAAAGAAAGAGCTATTACCCTTCACGACATCATGGATGGAACTAGAGAGCATTATGCTAAGTGAAATAAGCCGGGGTCGGGGGAAACAAGTACCATATGATCTCACCTATAAGTGGAACCTAAGCAACAAAACAAAACAAGCAAGGAAAATATAACTAGCAACATTGAAAGAAAAAAGAAACCAACAGAATCAAGAGGGAAGGCGGGGGCGGGAAAGGGGAAGGGAAGGGTCAAGTCAAGGAATATGAATAAAAGACACATGGACAAAGCCAAAGTGGGGAAAGATGGAGGGAGGTGAGAGAGGAGGGCAGGGGAAAGTGGCAGCAGGAAGGTGGAGACAATGTATTTGAGCAATAAAATAAATAAAATTATTAAAAAATAAATTTGGGGAGTTTCCATCCATTATTTCTTTGAATATTTTTTTCTGGTCCTTTCATTTCTTTCTGTTACTTACCTGGTGATGTGATATGATTGATGGTGTTCCAGATTTCCCTGAGGCTCTGTTCATGTTTCTTCCTTTTTGTTCACTCTTTTCATCTAATTGCATATTTCTATCCATCTATCTTTAAGTTCACATATTCTTTCTTCTGCCAGTTCAATTCTACTCTTAAGCCATTCTGGTGAATTTTTCTTTTCAGTTATTTTCTTTCCCACTCCAAAATTTACATTGGTTCTTTTCCACCATCAAATTTACATTTGGTTCTTTTTTATCAAAAAAATAATTTCTATCTATTTACTGATATTTGATGAAAAATTGTCATCATGTTTCCTTTCCATTATAAAAATATGGATTTATTTAGATATTTGAATGTATTTATAATAGTTTCTTAGAAGTTTGTCTGCTAAGTCCAACATTTGGGTCCTCTTTATGGTAATTTACATGGCCTACATTTTTTCTTATGTATGAGTCACACTTACCTGTGTCTTTGCATGGCATATACTTTTTTTTGTTGTTGTTAAAAGTAGACATGTTATATAATATATTGTAGCAACTTTGGATAATAGTCCTCCATGTGGTTTGTTGTTAGGGTTATTTTTATTTTTTTATTTAGTGACTTGGCTGGAGTAGTTAAGTGAAGTCTCTTTCTTCTGCAATGTGTAGTTTTTTGATGTCATTTCTTGGAGAATGCCACCTTGGGTATGTGTACAGTCTTCCTCTACAGGGATAAGTGTAATTTTAGCCAGGCAATATTTGACTGTCATTTTCTCTTAAGTTTCTAGCTGATCTGCCTCTGTTCATATCACATTCAGCTTTTAACCTCTACAATTTACTAGTTGGTTGCACTATTTTCTGGATAATGTTCTGATCTATGGTCTTGGCCACTTGAAATTAGGTCCCAAGGCATAGCCAGAGAAATCCCAGTCTTTGAAGCTGATTTTGACGCTCACCTGGCAGAACCTCTATGTTATGAAGCATAAGTTGGGTGTGATGAGAAACTCACTCTTCATTGGTGGCCCCACATAAACTTTCTGTTGAGCAGGATCTGAGAGTTGGCAGGAATTAGTGTGACTGCCTGGATGCTGCTATCACCCTGTATGGATGTTTTATAACACAGAGCCTCAGAGGTTGGGATCTGCCAATATTTATTGTCCTGTTAATATACCCAAAATAAGTCATCTAACTTAAGAAGATGAGAGAGATAGGACTTACCACTTGACTGCTGAAATAACTAGTGTGGCTTTCTAACAACAAAGGATCTGGAAAGGGGAGTTGATTTCTTGACCAACAACCACTCCTCTGATCTTTCCTACCTAATGGAAGTTGAGGGGAAGGGAACAAATATTGTCTTGCTGAGTCTATATACTCAATATAGGCCTTTCATAGAAAATTAGATCTTCTGATGTTTGCTTGTTGTCAAACTACCCAGAATAGCTCTTCTACCCCAGGGAGCTGGAGGAATTGGAAACTGCCACTTGGTTGTTGAGCCCACTGAAATATTTATTCTGCAAGGCAGAGCTTTGAGTGGATAGCTACAATGCTGTGGCCTCCCAGGAGATTTTTTTTTTTTAATAAATTTCAATTAGTTGAATGCCCTTTGATCTACCTCCAAAGGTCCTGAGTGATTGTTTTTGCTAATTTTGGCCAGCTAAATAGGTGTGTCTTTTTGAGAGATTTTCCCCATTTATATTCTATAAACTCTTTACTACCTGTTTTGGCACTTTCTATTTAATTTTATAGTTTTACTAGACTCTAAATAGCCTCATTGTTTTCTATCCAGCCTTTTTGTTGGCTACCTCTCTTTCCTATTATAGTAGATTCATGTCATTTGGATCATGTCTGTCTTCTTTTTAGCAATTGTGATGGCTATAGTTGCTCTCAATCATGTTTATACATTTTAATATATTCTACTGATTGGCTTCTTTGTGTACAAGCCCTCATATTTCATTTGCATTCTTATTTGGACTGTTCTACTAAATATAACCTTTATATCAAAACACACCTCCCCAATGCCTTCCCACAGATATTAATTAATCTTACAAAATAGTTTACCTTTTAGATTACTTGTACTTCAGTATACTTCTTATAGAAGAACTTATCAACACTATAATGCTAAATATTTTATTAACTTCTAACTTCCAATTTTTCCATTATATTGTATTATTCTCCTTGGCTATTTAGGTTTAAGCTTTCCCCCCATACCATAAACTTTATAACCTATATTAATATCTTTAAATTGAATAAGTTCATTAGCTTAATACATATTGATTTTTTTCCTTTTACTAAATTAAGCATTCAAATTATTTCTTTTGTTTTACTGTCCATATTTCAGATCTTCAAAATGGAAAGATAATTGACATACATTGGAAGATTATTATAAAAGCAAAGATTACTCTAAATGTTCACTTACTTGGTTGTAGCACCATCAAACATCCCAGTTTTGATGAAATATGGGCAAACAATGGTGGTTTTAACATTACTTTTCTTTATTAGTTTTAATTAAAAAAAGAGACTCTGTAAGCCCAAAGCTACAAATTTGCTTGAAGAATAATCTAAAACAAAGTGAAAAGCTGTTAGCAATAAAATTGGACATGTTAATTAATAGGATTATTTTTAAAATTGAAACTCTCTTTTCTATGGTGACAAAGCATCATTATTAAAGTCATTTGTGTGGCCACTGGACCCCTGTATCTCCACACTATCTACCCCCAAAGAATACGGGGACCCAAGAAGACTAATGAGCCACATGGCATACTTCTATTTTTTTTTAAAGAGAGTATCTTCCTTTGCCGCTGCTATTTTAAATAGGAAAATGGGGGGGGATGCTGGCATTATAAATAGAGCCAAGTGTATGAGAGATTTCCCCTTGGTGCAGGAAGAGTTTCTATGCCTTGAAAGAGCCCTAATTTCTGAGTGCCATGGACTGGATAATATAGAGACACATGGTTAAGTACTCACCTGCTAGTCCATTAGTACCAATTAATCCTGCTACACTGGAAATACAGACCAAATGACCATGATTATCTTTAATCATGGCAGGAAGAAAGGCCTTACAAGTCTGGAAGATACAAATACATGGGGTCAATATTTCATTCATTTATAATTTTATTTACTCAATAAGTATTTGATGAATTTACAGATTCGTTTAACAAGTATTTATATAGCACGGCGTGTTAAATCTTGTGGTAGTGCAAAAATAGTCACTGGCACCATGCAGTTGCTGTCCTTAAGGATCTTAAAATTTATTATGTGTTAATCTATAAGAAATACTATTTCATTTGTTTTTCCTTTTAACTCTACCAATTGAATTAAATCAACATTTTACATTTACAGTTTGCTAAGACATAAAAACCTTTAAAACCTAGTTTTTCTAATATGCTGAGCTTTTCCATGTAGTTTTCAGCCATTTGTATTAAAATGTAGTCACATTCACCTTCCTGGCTTTTTATGACAGAATAAGTAAAACTACCTGAAGAAAAGTGAATTTTAATGCAAGAAAGACAGGCTGGTACATAACGTGCTTTGCAAATGTCTACCATGATTTAGATATATTTTTAGCTATTGATATTTTGGTAAAATCTTACTCATCCTTAGCTGAGATATTAATTCAGTATCCTAAGATCCCACGTCATGAAAAAGTTCCAGTTCTCCTACCCTTGTGCTTCTTAGGTTCCCTCAAGGAACTTCTCCATTCTCATTTCCTCTGATACTGGGATTTTAAATCTAACCTCTGGTCAGAAATAATAATCCAAAAATTGGAAATACGGCAAATAGATGATTGTGTGACTTTCAACATACTAGAATGTTTTCTAATAATCTTTCCTAAGGTTTATCTAACTCTCTTGGCAATGTTACTTGGACTGATTATTAGGACCCAGATGTTTCACAATCCTGTAAAATTAGAGGTTAATGTGTAGAAAACTAATAGGTGTAATTTTTTATAATCCCCAAGGTAAGAGTTTAGTGAACTCATTTTAGCATTCTTTTTCATTGATTATAACAAATCCAAACTCCTCATATTATCAGTTTATCAGCTGTGTTATTCTGCTGGTTCTCCCATAAACAAATTAAGTAAAACATTGACAGGCCATCCTCATCACCTATTTCTATGAGATTTACGATTTTAATGATGTCAGAATTTTGTATTAAGAGTTTTGCACAGTCTGCTGGTTACTTACAAGGACCCAGCGCAGCTCCTGGTTCAAAGAATATCACCTTTGCTTGCAAGGTCTTTGGGTCTCACTAATCTTATTCCAGAACTATTGAATTGATTGGTGAATTTCTGTTTGGATACAGACAATTGGCTTTTTTTGACATCTCATGTTCAAGTATGGTAGCATTTTATGTGTCTGTCTGTTGTGGTAATGACCTCTTTGTTGTTCATAAATTCAAACTTAAAAAAAAATATTGTTGCATTAGTCATTACTGCAGGCCAGTTATAAATGGAAAGAGTTGTTTATTGTCTTTCAGCACAAGTGTGTAAAAAATCCAGCCTGGGCCCCTGAAGGCATCTCCAGAGTGATTATTCTGGCAGACCTCGTGGGATCTTGGGACTGGAGGCCCAGCTGCAGCATCATTACGGGTGTCTGCAAGTTAAACTTTCAATAATGTGAAGCTGAGTAACAGAGTTGAAGGTGTGTGTGTTACTTTGGATAAGAAATTTCATGGGCTGAGGCAATGAAACTCCCCAGATGAGAGAGAAAGTAGTGGCCTACAGCAGTCCTGTCATATGGCTGAACACTAGTGAAATCTAAAAGCATCAGGGTAAGCAGTTACCTACTCACAGGGATCTAATCACTTGCAGGGGTGGGTTTTATTTGTTTTTCTCCACAGATTCCACCCTCTCCCCAAATGTATCTCTATGTTTATTTGCTTTTGAGTCAAGACTGAAGCTGCTACCGGTTTCCTGTGTCCAAATGAGAAAAGTTTTCTCTCACAGAGAAAAGTGACTAGGTATTTCAAGGGTCTGTTTTTATTTGTAGCCCCAATGTATCAGTGAGGGCATTTGAGGACATTCTATAAGCTGAATTTATCTTAGAAACTCATCATTTGTTCTCACTGTAAGAATCTCCACTATTAAAGAGAAGAAAAAGGAATGCATAAATGTTCAGTGAGCAATTAATGAAACTTGTAACATACAGTTATAACCAGGGTACTTACTAGTGAATTATATATTGATCCAGGTATAGACATTATTCATAATCAAGGCAAATCTATGAACTAATGACATTTGTTTGATTAAGAACTATATCTATTTTTTCTCATTTTATCACATGTGGGGTATAATGCAAACAAGCATCAGATTTGCTTGATTTTATTTTACTGTGTTTGATGTAAGACTTGGTTTTTCTCATGGAAAAGCCTAATTAATGAACTTCCTAATTTTTTTCACACTGATTATGGGCCAAAGAGTTATCATTGTTTTCACAAAATATTTCAGGATATGATGAATGAGAATATGTGTTCAGGTAAATTGAATTCCAGCAACTGAAAACTTTATTGTAAAAAAAGGGTTGGTGTTTTTAAACTTCAGACAGTTCTGCCAATTGTTTGGACTTGGCTACTCCACTTGCATTGTCTTCTAGGCTAGAACACACAATATAAAAGTACAAGTTCAGAAACTACATGAGGGCTGAATGATGAGAAGGAGCCACCATATGAGAATCAGGAGAAAGAATATTCTTGTCAGAGAGAACAGCTTGGCAAAGACCCTCATATAGGTCAGTGCTTGATGTGCTCCGGGGTCTTTTCAGGATCCTTGAAGTATAGAAAGTGAGCAGAATGTAGAGAACAATGAGAGGCGGGTGACAGATACAGGAGGATATTACCACATCATATAGGGGCCTATAGGCCATGATAGGTAACTGTATATTGTTCCATTACCTATGGTTAAAGATCATTTTGTTTTTGTCTGAAGGCCATGCTGCACTGCTGGCAAGAGATTACAAAATCTTGGACCAGGGCTAGCAGCAGAGAAGGAGAAAAATGATTGCACTTGAGCGTGCTTTGTAGGGAGAGCCAAGGATGTTGGCGTTAGGGCAATGGAGGAATCAAGGATGGCTTCTACGTTTGTGATGTGGTTAGATATGGGCGCACCCTAGCTCCATCTTCCAAGATGATACTTCCCCTTCCCAAAGACATTTTAAATGGGGTAGGGGAGGGAAAGTCATTTCAGAAATATTTGTGGAACACCTTGTATGTCAGACACTTTGGTAGGTTCTCACTAAATATTGGTTGAAAGAGGTGTGTTGAGCTCCAGGCGGGGCTTTCCAGTGACCAAGAGAGAAGGTCAAGGAAATAGTTCTAAGGACCTTACAGAGTGGGTATAGATGCATTGAATGGAAAGAAAGAGTAGCCTGGGACACCTGAAGCAAACCCATCCCAAAACCCTATCCTTAGGGCCACAGAGGACTGAGGCCCTGTGCCCCACTCTCTTCTCCATGACTCCTAAGGCCAAGTTCCAGCCACCTGTGCCTCCTGCATATTCCACCCCTGCTTGTGTCTGTTCATTGCATCACAGTGTCAAGTAGAAATTCTCGAAGTGGAAACTCCCTTGGTAATGCAAGTCTCCTTCAGCCTCCTATCCATTTTCCAGAGTTGTGTTATCCAAGATAGTAGCCTCTATGCATGTGGCTATTTAAATATGCATTGAAAGGAATTAAATTACATAAAATTAAGAGTTTAATTCTTCAGTCCACCAACCGTATTTAAAGTGTTCAATAGCTGTGGTCGACTAGTGGCTACCATATTGGGAAGCACAGAAAAAGAACATTTCCATTACCGCAGCTAGTTCTACTGGATAGCACTGGTCTAAACACTCTAGGCTTCAAGAAAGCCTGTCCTGAGTTATAAGTCTCCTAATTGTCCTTCTGTAAAGAGTCTTTCCCTTCTCTCTTCCTCCTTTTGTAAGTATGGACAATCACTTAGCAGTTGTAGGACCTTGGGTAAGTCATTTAAACCCTTTCAGCCTCAGTTTCCTTATTTGTAAAATGAGAATGAAAATGGTACCATGGCCGCCATATGCAGGGAGAGAACTTAGAGCAGTGCCTGGCACAGCAAGAGCTTATTTCCTATGTTTCAATGCCCAGTCACACACACACATAACCCATGACTCTAAAAATAGCCACTTTCTTTGTACACAAACTCCTCTTTCCAAATTTGAGCTCATGAACAAATTAAAACTCTTTTGTATAATGGCTGTCACATGCTGTTTGTATTTTGGTAGGGAGATTTCTTTACATCTTGGGACCAGAATAGAGAGGATAGAGGGAAGGGTCTTACGCTGAGCACTTGTAACAGGGCAAGAACAGGAATAACTAAGCCGAGTGTGCAAGGCAAGGGAAATCTGGATGAGAGTCTGGGAGTCTATGAATGGTAAATTCACAAAGAGAATATATACAGATAAATGGCTGAACAGTTGTTTACAGAAATACGTGGAATTTTCCTACTTATCAATAAAAGAAAATGAAAAAGAATGAAGACTTACCCAGAAATGAGCTAAGACATTTACAAGAAATGATCTTTCCACCATGTTGTCTGGAATGTTGAGAAATAGCTTTCCTGTCACCGCTCCAGCATTGTTCATGAGGGTCACATCGCCAGCATCTTTCTTAACCTCGACAGAAGTGAGGCAAATGTTAATTCCTTAGACGTGTTTACATTTTCATATGTTTTTCCAGGTCATCTTTTTTTTTTTTAAATTTATTCTGGTAGTTTCTTTAAAACTGGGTATTTGATCCTGCACATAGAACATCGACAATTTTAAAGTAACTTTATGATTTATTATATTAAATAAACCACTATGATTTGTCAATTTTGCTTAAAGAATCTTGATTTCTTTTTTTGGGGGGGGGGGTTGTGTGTAGAGATGACCTAATGTTACATCTTTTCTCTATCTCCTGTTTCGGTTGTGCTATTAACCCTCCCCTGCCAGTAGCTAATCACGAGGGTGGTATATGGGTAATGTCTGATTCTGTCTCCCTGCATGCTTCCAAATGTTTCCCTTCAGGTGAAAGTTAGGTTTCCCCTCAGCATGTTGTGTCTAATAGTTACTTCTGCCCGTATCTCCTTCCTGACTCTTCTGTGAATTTGTTGGCAGGAACACATTCCATCCCTGTAAAGCCTGGCCAGTGCTTGGCACGAAGACATCCCAGACACAGATGTGTTTGGCTCACTGCCCCGAGACCTCTGTGAGCCTGTGCACTTCTGTCCAAAAGACCTCCCCAGATTTAGTTCCTGTCTGTGGCTGATATTCTCCTGCAATCCTCAGCTGTGCTACAGCATTTTCCTTCACTCTTCCCTTCTGCATTGCCCACCTTGCCTGTTTGCATAATCCACAATATACCACACATCCTATTCAGAGTCAAGCATGCTCCAGAAAAAAAAAACAAACCATGGGGGCCCGTTTTTCTCTCTTTTACAATTTTTGTCTCAAATGAAGCCTTTGTAGGTGACATTGATAAAGCTGACCCAGAAGCAAAGCATGATGCAATGTTTAATAACCATTTGAAGACTTTCTTTTTCTGCCCTGAACTGGATCTTTTTGAGCTGATATGACAATCTGTCTCTTTGTTTTTGAAAAGGAATTAATATCTGTCTTGATTTGATTTTCTAATCAAATCTTGACCTGGTTTTCTAATTCCTAGCCCATGCGCTGCTTTGTGTTAAGCCTCCCAGATAATATGATTGTGAGATTGTAGGTAAATATCACTCCTAATGCAGTCAAGTCAAAGAAGTTTTGAAAGATGGGCTAATAATATTGCTGAGCTGAGGTTGGGTTGAAGGATTAGGTTCCTCTACTTTGGGGAGAAGTAAGACAGAGAAAGACATCCTAGGGAACCTAACTTTCAGAGAGGAACATCCTATTGAAAGCAAGGGCTATTTTAGACCAATTGCGAGGGAAGAACATGGGCCGGAGAAGGAGAAGAAATCAATGATGTAAGACATTCTTGGACATTTAAGAAAAACCTAATGATCACTGTCATCCTGTCCGAGACCTAGAAAGGGCAGGTAACTTGGTAAAAATTGCACAACCAATGAGGAACAGAGCCAGGACTAGCCCTAGTTTCTGACCCCTGATGGTAAATGAGTTGCCAGGAAAGTAGCTGGGCAACAACTCAGACAACTCATCAAGTACCCACTTGCATTGTATTATTCTATGCCCCTTTCAGAAGGCTACAAAGTCAGATTCCTGACATACAGACTCCAGCAAGAGGCATGAAGGCATCTTGGAAGAAGTCTATGACAACCTTTTCTTCTCCTCTCTTTGTAAAAGCACATGCTAAATGCAATGTTTTTCTTGGGAATAGAAGCTAAGAAGGATACCAATCAGCTTACCTGATCAGCAGCTCTGTAGATCTCTTGCCTGTTGCTACAGTCACACTTACAGGCACATACTTTCTTAGCACCCTTTTCTTTGGCTAGTCTTCATGTTTCCATAGTGTCTTCTTCATTAAAGTCCCATGGAACTGAAATGGCTCCAAGGCTGGCAAATTTTATGGCCATTAGCCTCCCAAGTCCACTCCCAGCTCCTGTTATAAGTAGAATCTCTCCAGCAACAATCTTTTTTCTCTTGGGAATGAACCTGCAAACCAAAGATTCTAAAAAATAATATGAAAATTTCCCCCAAAATATGGTAGTGTCCAAAATCACATCCATGTTGATTCACGGAAGAAAGGAATGTCCTAATGAGAAAAAAAGGTCATTGGTAAACTCATTACATTATCACACTTGCAATATACATGAAGTACTTAGTACAAGACGATTTACCCTTGAGACATTAATTATTCAGAACCTGTTTTTTAGCAACAACTGCTAAAATTGTTGAATTTTTAAATTATATAAATGAGCATAAAAATATTTTGTTTTTTAAAGTAATTTTTGCTCATTATTTTTTTTAAAAAGATTTATTTATTTTTAGAGAGAAGAGAAAGAAAGAGAGGCAGAGAAACATGGATGTGTGGTTGCCTCTTGCATGCCCCTCACTGGGGACCCAGCCTGCAACTCAGGCATGTGCCCTGATTGGAAATTGAACTGGCAGCTCTTTGGTTTGCAGGCTGGCACTCAATCCACTGAGCCACACTGAGCAGGGCTAAAAATGTTTTATGTTAACAAGAATCTTTCCAATTTACAGGGCACTTTCTTTTTTTTATGAAAAAGGGAGACATTTATTGAAAAAGATACAAAGTACAAGAAATATTATACATAGGACAATGACGTCTCAGTCCCCTTCAAAGTAGGAACCTTGTGATCTCACACAGCTCTCTCAATCACCATCAACTGCCCTGTTGTATTTTCCTGACTGTCATTGACGGTCTGAAATCTCTTTCCTTTCAAAGGTGATTTTAGTTTCAGAAAAAGCCAGAAGTTGCAGGGCGCCAAATCTGGACTGGAGAGGGGCTGAGTCACCTGGGTGATTTGATGTTTCGCTAAAAAACTCTGCAGGAGATGTGATGTGTTGAGTGGGCGCATTGTTGTGATGAAGCTGCCAGCCACCAGTTGCCCACAGCTGCGGCCTTCTGAATCATCCGAAGAGTTTCCGTGGAGAAATGTTCAAGCTTAATGCAAAATTTGACATAGATTCATTGCTCTACTCACTCAGTCCATTTGGAATGCGATGGCCACACAGTACACATGCTCACTCAACGGTGTTTACTGTCTCCACTGACTACTACAGTGAAATTGTCATTGTTCATGCATGTGCATTCCAGTCCACTCTCCTTGGCTGTCAGGTTGCATCGATGTCATGCAAGCTGATGGCTGGACTTTTTTGGGACAGACCTTGTATACTCACTGATTTCAGGGCACCCCTAGCTAAAACATCCAAAAACTTGTTACACTTGGAATAGAAAGAAGATTCAGTTCAGGCTGGCAATCACAGAGGTCAGGTTAATTCTTACCTCCCAGAGGTCCTGCTTGTCCTCAACTAATATGTAACAGAAACAATCCTCTAAACTCTGGTAGACTGGTTACATTTTGTCCATTCATTTAGTTGTCAGACATTTAATGAACAATCTTGAGAAATGGGCTTTAAACTTTATCAATTTACAAACTGTGCAAAACAGATGGTTTGTTATTAACAGACGGAATGATAACTGATGTTTAATAAATATGTACCAAGCCTTGTTCTAGGTATTTTATATATCTTACACCCGTAAACTGCCAAAGGTTCCTTTTCATTTCCCTGCTAGAAAACATAACACTAAACGTCCCTTGGCTTATTGCCTTTTTGTTCTTAAACAGCAAAAGAATACATGGAAAAACCATTGTGGTATTACTGAAGGGGTAGAGCATATCTTATCAGCAGATTATGCGACCAGCCAGAAATGAGGATGGTGTGATGGTGCATAGTACTTTCTAAAGAATAAGGATAAAAAATTAATCATGTTAACACATCACTATTGTGTGTTTTTAAGGATGTATTTAGAGAAACACTAACTTTTTTCTTTTTTTTTCCTGTTAGCTTTTCCTTATATACTTTTCCTTTTTCTTTTTTTTTTTAATGAAAACTTTTTATTTAATAAGGAACTATAAGATCAGATGCATTCAGTTTGCCCTATGAGTGAAGGAAGACAAAATAAAAACATATTAAAAAAAACAAACAAGGATGTATATCATATTAGTCTGCTCAGGCTATCATAACAAACATGCCAAACTGCTTTAAGTAGCAAATTTACTTTTTCGCAGTGCTGGAGGCTAGAAGTCTGAGACCAATGTTTACAAGGGTTGATTTCTTATGCAGCCTCTCTTCCTGACTTGTATGTGTCTGCCTATTCTCTTCGTCCTTGTGTAGCCTTCTCTGAGTGTATGGAGAGAGGGAGCTCCGATGTTTCTTCTGATAAGGACAACACTCTTGTAGGAACAGGGCACCTCTCTTATGACCTCATTTAACCTTTTTTTTTAGTTGATAATTCTCTTGTTCATTTTATTTTATTTTTTCACTTTTTTCAGCTTTTATCTTTTTTATTAATTAATTTTTTGAAATACATTTGTCTCTGCCTTCCCCTCACCACTTTCCCCTGCCCCCTCCCCCCTCTCCCTCCTTCAATCCTTCCCCACTTTGGTTTTGTCTATGAGTCCTTGCTATATGTTCCTTGACTTGCCCCTTCCCTTCCTTTTCCCCCGCCCACCACTCCCTCTTTTCCTCTTGTCTCTGTTGGTTTCTTTTCCTTTCAGTGTTGCTGGTCTTATTTTCCTTGGATCTTTGTTTTGTTGCTTAGGTTCCGCTTATAGATGAGATCATATGGTATTTGTCTTTCGCCCCCTGGCTTATTTCGCTTGCCATAATGCTCTCTAGTTCCATCCATGCTGTCGCGAAGTGCAGTAGTTCCTTTTTTCTTTCTGCTGCATAGTATTCCAGTGTGTAAATGTATCAACTATAATTTTTTGATCCAATCATCTATTGATGGGCATTTAGGTTGCTTCCAGCACTTGGCTATGGTAAATTGTGCTGCTATGAACATTGGGGTGCAGAGGTTCTTTTGTATTGGCGTTTTGGGATTCTTAGGGTATAGTCCCAGCAGGGAAATCACTGGATCAAAAGGCAGTTCCACTTTCAGCTTTTTGAGGAAATTCCACATGCTTTCCACAATGGCTGTACCAGTCTGCATTCCCACCAACAGTGGACTAGGGTTCCCTTTTCTCCACAGCCTCGCCAGCACCTGTTGTTTGTTGATCTGTTTATGATGGCCATTCTGACTGGTGAGAGGTGGTATGTCAATGTGGTTTTGATCTGCATTTCTCTGATGGCTAGTGATGCCGAGCATCCTTTCAAATGTCTCTGGGCCCTCTATCTCCTCCTTGGAAAAGCGTCTTCCCAGGTCCTTTGCCCATTTTTTGATTGGATCATTTGCCTTACTGGAGTGGAGTCGTGCAAGTTCTTTATATATTTTGGAGATCAAACCTCTATCTGATGTATCATTAGCAAATATATTTTCCCCTATGGTTAGCTCCCTTTTCATTTTGCTGATGTTTTCTTCAGCCGTGCAGAAGCTTCTTATTTTGATAAGGTCCCACTTGTTTATTCTTTCCTTTATGTCCCTTGCTTTAGGGGACATATTGGTGAAAAAATTACTGTGTGGGAAATCTGAGAGTTTCCTGCCAATGTTCTCCTTTAGGACTTCTACGGTGTTGAGACTTATATTTAAGTCTTTTATCCATCTTGAGTTTGTTTTTATGTATGGTGTCAGCTGATGATCCAATTTCAATTTTTTGCATGTAGCCATCCATCTCTCCCAACACCATTTGTTGAAGAGGCTATTATTATTCCATTTTAGGCTTCTGCCCCCTTTGTCAAATATTAGTTGCCCATAGAGACATGGGTTTATTTCTGGGCTTTCTATTCTGTTCCACTGGTCTATGGGTTTATTCTTATGCCAGTACCAGATTGCTTTGAGTATAGTGGCTTTGTAATGTTGTTTGATGTCCAGTATTGTGATCCCTCTTACTTTGGTTTTCTTTCTCAAAATTGCTGGGGTGATTTGGGGTCTTTTATGGTTCCACATAAATTTTTGAAATGTCTGTTCTATTTCTGTGAAATACGTCATTGGTATCTTAATAGGGATTGCGTTGAATCTATAAATTGCTTTGGGTAGTATGGACATTTTGAGGATATTAATTCTTCCAATCCATGAGCACGGTATATGCTTCCATTTATTTGTGTCTTCCTTAATTTCTTTCTTCAATGTTGTATAGTTTTCTGCGTAAAAGTCTTTTACCTCTTTGGTTAAATTTATTCCTAGGTACTTTATTTTTCTTCTTGCTATATTGAATGGTATTTTTTTTTTCTGATTTGTTCTTCTATTTCATTGCTGGTGTACAAAAATGCCTTTGATTTCTGAATGTTGACTTTGTATCCTGCTGTTTTGCCAAATTCACTTATTAGGTTGAGTAGTTTTTTGGTGGAGTCTACACGGTTTTCTATGTACACTATCATGTCATCTGCAAACAATGATAGTTTTACTTCCTCCTTTCCTATTTGGATGCCTTTTATTTCTTTTTCTTGTCTCACCGCTGTGGCTGGGACTTCCAATACCATGTTGAAAAGAAGTGGTGAAAGCAGACATCCTTGTCGTGTTCCTGATCTTAGTGGGAAAGCTTTCAGTTTTTGCCCATTGAGTATGACGTTGGCTGTAGGTTTTTCATATATGGCCTTTATTACGTTGAGGAATGCCCCATTTATTCCCATTTTGCTGAGTGTTTTGATCATAAACGGGTGCTGTACCTTATCGAATGCTTTTTCTGCATCTATTGAGATGATCATGTGGTTTTTGTCTTTTCTTTTATTTATGTGATGTATTACATTTATTGACTTGCGTATATTGAACCATCCCTGCATCCCTGGGATGAATCCCACTTGATCGTGGTGGATAATCTTTTGAATGTATTGCTGGATGCGGTTTGCCAATATTTTGTTGAGGTCTTTAGCATCTATGTTCATCAGAGAAATTGGCCTGTCGTTTTCTTTCTTTGTAGCGTCTTTATCTGGTTTTGGTATTAGGGTGATGCTGGCCTCATAAAAAGAGTCTGGGAGTCTTACCTCCTCTTGGATTTTTTGGAAGAGTCTGAGAAGAACAGGGGTTATCTCTTCCTTAAATGTTTTGTAAAATTCTCATGTGAAACCATCTGGCCCAGGGCTTTTGTGTGCCAGGAGTTTCTTG